AGGCTCCGGATCCCAAGCGGGGCCCCTGGGCTCCAAGAGCAAAGAGTGCCCCCCAGGACAGCGGCTGGCCGCACACAGACCGTCCCCGCTGCCTCCACCCAGCTCCCCACCCCCACCACTGGCTGCATCTGGAGCAGCTGCTGTGCTCACGTGTCCATCGCTGTGGCTGCCTGGGCAAATCCCTTCCTGCCACTGAAGCTCAGTGTTCCCATCTGTGAGATGGGTCTCATCCAGAGGAGTTATTCCGTGGGTGGTCGTGGAGATAGAAGGGGATGATGCCATGTCGCGCATCCAGCCCCGGCCCTGCTCATGTGCGGGCTCAGGGAGTAATGCTGCGGGGTGGGGGCACACGGAAGAGTCAGACGTGGATCCCACCCACCACCCCTGCAGCCCGTGGGCACCTGGCAAGAGCCAGGGGAGGCCATCTCACCTCACGGGGGGGCTTCTGGAAGCAGGGGTCCTCCTGTCTGCGTTCAGAGCCTGGGTGTGCTGCAGGCACGTGGCAGGCAGGCAGGGCTCCAGGAAGAGGGTGCCAGTGTCCCCCACGCAGGCGGCAAGGAATCAGGCTGCTGTTTATCCCAGCAGAGTGGTGTGCACCTGCCCACAGGCGACCAGCTGTTGGGCTTGGACAAGCAGGGCTTCAAGGAGTGGTGGGTGGGACGGGTGGGCCTCCAGGGCTGGAGGGCATCTCGGGGCCCGGGAGTCCCGGATGTTTGCTGGGACAAGGCCCACGGGTTTGAGGGGCTTCTCTCTAATCCCAGCCCTCCCCCTTCTCACCCTGGAGGACAGGCAGCCAGCCCTTGTCCTGGCTGTGACCTGGTGGGGGGGCGGGCGGGCCATGTCCTCCCTCGGGCCGAGCGCACTGTGAGTCAGCCCCGAGTCAGCGTCCAGTTCTGTGAGATGGGGCGACAAAGCCGTTGCATTAAATGAGATGCGCCTGCAGAGCGCGGAGGGGGCGGGTGAGCGATCCCCTCCATCGCGAACCCCACGTGACTCCTCGGCTCCCCAAACCATGCCTGCCTCATGCTCACCTCCCCCTTGTCTCCATGGTGAGATGAGAGGGCTTGGCTCATTAAAACCAAATAAAAAAGGAATTAGCGGGAGTGGCAACCGGGTGAGTAACTGATGAGTAACTGGGTCTGAGCTGAGCATGGGCAGAAACCAGGCGGGAGCAGAAAAGATGGGGGGGAGGCGTTCTGTGAAATGCCCTCCAAACACGCAGCCCGCCCTGGCCCGGGCACCTGCTGGCCTGCTTGGTGCTTTAAGGTGGGGGGTGTGGGAGTCCCCCTTCTGGCTGCTGCTGGGGAGGGAGGGCGTTTGGGGAAGAAGAGGATGGAGGGGTCGGTGGGGGTCGGTCCAGGGCCTCCGAGGGCACGCCCACATCCTGCTCACTCAGGCAGGGCTTGGTTGTGGGGCTTTTAACTCCGTGGGCCTGGCCTCCTGGTGGATTACACAACCGAGGAGATTCCTCACACTCCAGCGTGTGGCACGGCCCACTCCGAGGCTAGCTCCGCCTCCCCAGGGCTCCCAACCAGTGTTCACCTGCGGGCTAGCACTCCCCCACCCCCCACCCCACAGCACGCCTGGGGTCCACAGATGGTCCAGAGGCAGAAGCCCCTCACCAAGGGGCTGTGCATCCTCTTCCGCGGTCTCTTCCTGCCCACGATGACTGAAGGCAAAGGGGCCACAGAGGGGGTAGGATGACCTCTGTGACCTATGCCCCAGCTCCTCCCTCTGCAAAGCTGGGCTTGGATTCCACTGCCCGGGTTCAAGTCCTGCTTCCGCCATTAACACCTCGTTTCACAGCTTCCTGATAGCTCAGTTGCTAAAGAATCCACCTGCAATGCAGGAGACGCTGGTTCAATTCCCAGGTCAGGAAGATCCCCTGGAGAAGGGATAGATTACCCACTCCAGTATTCTTGGGCTTCCCTTGTGGTAAAGAATCCGCCTGCAATGAGGGAGACCTGGGTTCCGTCCCTGGGTTGGGAAGATCCCCTGGAGAAGGCAAGGGCTACCCACTCCAGTATTCTGGCCTGGAGAAGTCCATGGACTACAGTCCACGGGGTCACAAAGAGTCAGACACGACTGAGTGACTTTCCCTTCACTTCACTTCACAGCTTCTGTGTACCTCGGTGTTCTCACCTGTGATGTAGCAATAAGGATAAAACCTCCAATAGGACAGGTCGATGAGAACACATATGAAGGGTCAGGGGGCACTGGTGCTGTGACAGCTGGTGAGGAGGAGAGAAGCACAACTCCGCTGATCTGCTTGCTAATTAGTTCCAGGAGCCCCCGCCCCCAGCAGCCAGTGTGAGCTCTAAGATCTGAACCCCACAGCTTCTCGCTCGCCCCCACACTGGCAAAAGTGCCACCTGCTTCACGGCACATCGCTGGGCACCCACACGTTGGCTCCCTGGTGCCTCAGCCACCTTTTTTCATGACTCTTGATCTCCTACTCCCAGCCCAGGATCACCAAACTGTTGTACACCTCTGCACCTGCTGTATGCGCACCAGGAGCGTGCACCCACCACACACACACCACAAACACATTCACACGCACCCATGACGAGTTAACACATACTTCTTGTTAAGACTTAAAGATGTCACCTCTTGCAGGAAGCCTTCCCTGACTGCTCCACCCCACCCCCAACCCCCCACCGAGAGGCAGATTGAGGAATCCTTGGAGGTTCGGTGGTTCCTTGTGCCCCTCCTCGCAGAGCTCTGTGGTCACCTCCTCTCCTGGAATCCCCCAAGTTCACTGCCGCCTCCCCTGCCCATACATGCCCATGCATGAGCTAGTCAGCAGGCTCTGCTGGGCTTGGGCAACACCAACACGAACAGAAGGAGTTCAGTCGCCCACTTCCCACCGTGCTCTCCCTGTCCCTGTCTGTCTGGTGCTCCTGGCTAGTGGCCTGGATGGTGCAGGACCAGGGCTCCTCCGTGCTCCTCCAAGAGCCCCTCACTGGGCTGAGGCTGACTTCTGATGGAGCAGTGCCATCAGAGTGGTCCCCACGCAGGAGGGGAAAGTGTAGGCAGGATGGGCCCGCCCGGGAGGAGGGGCGGATGAGTAGCAAGGCCCTGGGAAGGTGGTGCCCTTTGCAGCCCCTGGTCTTTCTGGGGAGGAAGGGATGTTGGACACCACCCTTCCCTCAGCTCTTCTCAGAGGATGGAAGTTTCCAGGAAGCCACGGCCCCCTCTGAGAGGCAGAGGCCGACCAAAGCCTCCTCCACCCTGGGCCCCTGAGACCCTGGTCCTCATCCTGAATAGGAGAAACCCCGGGAGCAGGGACCCCAGATAGGTGAGCCCCCAGGGTGAGCCCCCAAAGGGAAGGTACTCGCTGAGGATGAGTACCCCACCAAGGGTGAGCCTGTTAGGGGAGTGGGGACCCCTCCGAAGGAGCCCCCCTCAGCCGGTTGGTGGGTGAGGAGGGAGGCCCCAGAGCACATGGCCTGCACCCAGGACAAGGCCGGGCAGGCAGTTGGTGCTTAGTGGATGCTTGTGGAATGGACCTAACTTGACTCTCAACCCTCTCTCAAGCTGGGGGGGACCATGCCAGACCCCAACAACAGGGACAGTAGGCAAGCACACGGGGCATGTTGGCGCCCGTAGGGCACAAGCGCTGGGCTTGTATGCTCCTGGGTTTCCAGGGCACCGCTGAGTCTGACTGGGCCATGCCCTGCTGTGGCTGAGGGCACTGCCATTCCCGCTCACCAGACCCGGGCTTTAGTCCAGTCAACACCACTGAGCTTCGGACCCGGAGTGGCAGGTGCTGGGTACCACACAGTCCCGGCCGTGGCCCTCAGGGAGCCTCTCTGCTCATGGGCAAGGGGAGAGGTGCTCGAGAGACTGGGGCTGGGATGGCTGGATGCACAGGCGGGGGATGGGGCATGGAAAATAAAGAGTTCAAGCTGGGACTGCCCAACTAAGGGGACTTTGACCCACGTGGAGCCAGGAAGGCCCAGTGCTAGAGCCCACCAGGTGGACACTGTCAAGAGCAATGAGAGTCAGATCTGCCGCTGAGGGTGGCCAGGGAGCCCGGGCTGTCTTCTGGCTGGTGATCTGGGAAGGCTGCTTGGAGGAGGAGGTATTGGAACTGGCTTTGGAAGGTTGTAAAACTTTGGGCATGAAAGGGAAGGAAATTCCACCCAAAAGACCAGGCAACGTCCAGGAGCATGTGAATTTGACTTTGAGCCCCGGAATTTGAGTTGTTTGGGGTGGAAGATAGGGAGAGAGGGCTGGGGATCCAACCCTGCACGGACTTCAGACCTTCCCTTTCCAGCTCAGGCAAAGGAGAGGGAGGGAATGTGTGTGTAGTACACGTGTGTGCGGAACTGCACTTTGCACCCGCCTGGAGGATGGCTGGGGAGTGGGGTTGGCAGGGGAGACCCACGCCTCAGCCTGGCAGTTCAGTGGCCCCTGAAGCAGGCAGAGGTGATGGAGAAGGAAGATTCAGGCGGCCAGGGCCTAGTGAGGGGGTGACAGTGGGTGGTTAGAGAGAGAGATGGCAGCAAAGGGGTTTGGGGTCCACTGCAAGCTGGGGGCATTCTGCCTTGCCCCTGGCTGGTGGGGTGGGCGCCCCAAAGGGATCCTGGGCACAGGTGGTACGCTCCTGAAGAGCAGCGCCAGGAAGCTGGCAGAGGTGCAGGCCCAAACAGCCCCTCCCAGGACCCCTGACTGCTGTCTCCGAGGAGGAAACTGCCTCCCCACCCCGCACTCCCCCCACCCCCTGCCCAGGCTCCTGGAACAGAAAGAGAATGGTCTTCCGTGCGGGCGGCAGGGCCAGGGCACGCACCGAGTGCCCAGGGTGTACTGGCCTTACGACAGCCCTGCCAGTTGGGTTCCATCAGCCCCACGTGGCTGAGTCGGAAGCTCAGAGGGCCAGGGCTGAACCCAGGGTCACACGGCTGGCCGGCAGCAGGATCAGGGCCCAGCACCTGGCCCCTGAGCCCACGGGTCGGGACCTGCGGGGTTCACCGTCCGCACCCGTCCCCTCCCCGCAGGGAGCCGTGAGGCCGCCTTCACGTACGCCATCACCGCGGCCGGCGTGGCCCACGCCGTCACCGCCGCCTGCAGCCAGGGCAACCTCAGCAACTGCGGCTGCGACCGCGAGAAGCAGGGTTACTACAACCAGGCCGAGGGCTGGAAGTGGGGCGGCTGCTCCGCCGACGTGCGCTACGGCATTGACTTCTCCCGGCGCTTCGTGGACGCCCGCGAGATCAAGAAAAACGCCAGGCGCCTCATGAACCTGCACAACAACGAGGCGGGCAGGAAGGTAGGGCGGGCGCGGGGCGGGGCGGGGACGCAACTGGGCGGGGCGCTGTGTGCAGTGAGCGGGGCGGGGCGACGCAAGCAAGGAGGCGGGGCGGGGCAGGCCTGCTTCAGGCGTGACCACTGAGCTACCCAGTTATCCAGGGAGGGTCTGGACCTCTCTGAGGTTTGGGCTTCTCTCCTAGCGGAGGGAGCTGGTGAACTGAGCCCTGAAGGTGCAGGGTGGGTAGTGTTGAGCACAAGCCATCACTTGTCTGTCCTAAGCTCTAAGCGTTGGGCCTTTCTATTCCAATTGCAAAGATTTGAAAACTGAGGGTGCGACTAGAGAAGTTATGTGTCTGTAGCCCTCATCTGGTGGGCAGTGGTGTGAGACAGGGACCCTTTTTGCACATAGGGTAGGAGCCGGGCCTGGCAAGCGTCGGTGGTGGGGGAGGCCTCTAGGCCACAGTCTGTGTCCCTGCCCCACTCCTATAGGAGTCATGCCAATACACTCAGAAAGGCTTCCTGGAGGAGGTGGCCTTTGATTCATTTTGAGAGGCTGGAGGAAGGGGTGGTGCCAGGAAGCAGGAGCAGCCTGAGGAAAGGCAGAAACTGAGTTGGAGCCTCTTGAGCAGCCAGCTTCATGCGTGGGGTGGGGTGCAGAGAGGTGCGTGATAAAGGAAGACATTCAAGCCGGGACACAGTGGGGAAGGAGTCAGGGCGAGTCCAGCCCCGCCTCTGGGAGATGAGGGCCCCAGATACTGGGCTGGGAGGAGCGGCCGCCATGGCGGCAAGATGGCCCGAGATAGGGCAGCCAGCCGAGCGGAACGCCTCTGGGTCTAGCTCTCCAGCCCCGGGGGCTGCACCCAGGGCACCAGGGCCTGAGGGGCTCTGCAGGCCAGGGACAGACTAGCCTTTCCAGGCAAAGAAGACTTGAAGATGCCCTCTGCCCCCAAGCCTAGAGCTGAGCTCATTGACTCGACCAATGCTCCTGCCGGGTCTGTGTGCCAGGCGCCATGCTGGGCACAGGGCACAGGTGGAGTGAGATGTGCCTTGGCTGTGGGAGCCCCCCCCCAGCGCCCAGTGGGCCCACAGCAGGGAGCCCAGGGGCCCGAGGGAGGGGCAGCAGCAGCTTCCTGAAGGCAGTGGCGTCCGCGGGGGGCCTTGAAGGACACGCCAGAGCTGAGAAGAGCAGAGCAGAGTGTGAGAGGTGAGGGCGGGGGAGGGGCCCGGGGGAGGAGGGGGCAACTGCAGAGGGTTCAGGCTCGTGGGAGCACCAGGGGTGGGTGAGACAGGGTTTGAGACATATGCAGGGGCCAGCCCAGGATGGGCCTTGAGCACCAGGCCCAGGCTTTGACTTCATCTTATAGAAGTGGAGGTTGCCGTGCAGCCAGTGGTTGTTGAGCTACTGTCAGATGAACAAATGAGTGAAGAAATGAGTCTTCATTTCTGGGCCTCCATGGAGTTTACAGACAACATTTAGGCTCCATTCTCCATGTCTGTGTGTGTGTGTCTGTGTGTGTGTTAGTTAGGTCCGACTCTTTGCAACCCAATGGACTGTAGCCCCCCAGGCTCCTCTGTCCATGGGATTCTCCAGGCAAGAATACTGGAGTGGGCTGCCATTTCCTTCTCCAGGGGATCTTCCTGACCCAGGGATCAAACCCGGGTCTCCGGCATGAATGGCAAATTCTTTACTGCCTGAGCCACGAGGGAAGCCCCAGGCTCCATTCTCTGGGCGCAGGCAATGGTGATCTGTGTCTGGAAGGGCAGAGGAGAGAGAGATTGACTTACATGGAGGGCACCAGGAGGGCTCCCCGGAGGAGGAGGCACATCTGAAGTCTAAACTGAACCAATCCCCTTTGAGCCTCTTCAGTGGCTTAGGTCTTGAGCAGGGGCTTTCCCACACCCCTGGGATCTCACCATCTCCATTTTATATTTGGGGACTTGGTGGCTGGGAGAAGAGGGGGTGGCAATTGGTAGGTGGTAAAAAGGCGTAGTAGAGAAGGCAATGGCACCCCACTCTAGTACTCTTGCCTGGAAAATCCCATGGACCGAGGAGCCTAGTAGGCTGCAGTCCATGGGGTCGCGAAGAGTCGGACATGACTGAGCGACTACTTTCACTTTTCACTTTTATGCATTGGAGAAGGAAATGGCAACCCACTCCAGTGTTCTTGCCTGGAGAATCCCAGGGATGAGGTCGCACAGAGTCAAACACTACTGAAGTGACTTAGCAGTAGCAAAAAGGAGTAGGGGATGTGGAGACTAGCAGGATTGGGCCTGAGGAAGACAGAAGGGCTGACAGTAGGAGGCTGGTGATGGGCCTGGGGCTGTTCGGGGGAGGGGCGGAATTGGGATGGAGAAGAGTCAATACATTGGGGGGGTTTGACTGGGGTGGAGCCGTGACACCCGGAAGCCATGCACTAAGGAGAGGCAGAATGTTGGAGGCAAGGGGGTGCAGATGAGCCATGCGAAGGCCTGTCGGGGCCAGGGGAGCCACAGAAAAGGCCTCTAACCTGGTTGGCAGCCAGGATTCTCCCGCTGACACTGTCCCCAGCTGTCCGCGAGGCCCTGGCTGGCCCCACCCCTCTCCCTCCCCGCTGTGTGCCCCAGCCCGTCCCCCCAACAGCCCTGACCCCGTGGGGCCGTGCCGCCCATGTGTAGTCTGAGCTCTTGGAAAAGGCCAGTGGTGGTGACCACACAGGGCCCCCTGGGGGCTTATCATGGCAGCTGAGACCGGTGGGTATGGCTTCTGAGGTTTCCTGGAGAGCTGAGTCCAGACCTTCAGGGGTCACTCTAGTGCTGGGGCACCCCGGCCCCATCATAGAGCAGCCAGGCCTGACCCCCAGCCCCTGGGCCTTGGGCGGAGTTCAGCAAGTCAGGTGGAGAGGGGGCTGTTGCTGCCACACCGAAGTCCCACAGTGAAGTGGCTTCAAGCAAGAGGAATTTGTTCTTGCACAGAGCCAGAGGCCCAAAGTCAAGGTGTCCGCAGGCCGGAGCTCCCTCCCGAGACTCCCCGGGAGGATCCTTCGGCCTCTTCCAGCTCCGGCGGCCGCGGGCGCTCCTTGGCTTGCGGCCGCATCGTCCAGTCTCGGCCTCTGTCTTCATGTGGCCCCTCCTCTGTGTCCGTGTTCCCTCCTCTTCTGTCTCTTACAAGAACACAGGTCTCTGGACTCAGGGTCCCCCCTGAACCAGGACCATCTCATGGCGAGTCTTACCTTGCTTACATTTGCAAACTTCTGATCTCCAAAGAAGGGCACATTCTGAGGGGCTGAGTGGACACATATTTGCGAGGACACTCTTCAGCCCACCCCAGACTGGCACACGGCCCACTGAATCCCTCGTGGGCCAGGATCAGACAAGCTGAATGTGCAGACCTGCTCAACTCTGAGCTCCTTCAGGGCTTTGGGCCACCAACCGGGGACACCCCCTAACTGAGCACCCTCCCCACAGTGTAGGCCAGCCCCTATTCTGGGAAGAACCCCAGTCTGCCCTTTTTTGGAGCTCCCTAGGGCAGGAGTGAGGCCCAGGGCTCAGCCAGCAGCTCCCCTGGGCAGGGTGGGTCGCTCTGCACCCTCCTAGGTGGTCTCCTGGGGAAGTGGGGGCTGGCGCCACCACCTCTCTCTCTCTTATCATGAGGGCACTGGAGCCGGAAACTGCACATTCTTGAATCCTGTGATCACTTCCCAGGAGAGTGAGCCCTGGGGACCCAGCCAAGCGAGGCTTCAGCCCCTTGCTCTGCACACAATGGTCCAATCAACTTCATCTGAGGACTGTCACCCTTCTGGCAACAGAGGAGCTGAATGTGGAGGGCAGGGGTTCAGGCGGGCGGCAGAGCGAGGCGGGGGCAGCCGTTCAGCGGGCCAACGCAGGCACCGATGGAACACCCGGCCTGCACAGACGCTAGCCTGGACACTCCCGCCAGGTCTCTGGCCATCACCGCCCATCTGAGGAGGCACCTCCTGGGTCAGCAGCATGGGGCGGGGCCAGCTGCCCCCCGGGCTGGGGCTCTGAGAGGGCTATGCATCTGGTCAGCCGCTGACCTGGACCATCCATGGCAGGCAGAGTGACCAGGGCAAGGGAAGCCTCCAAGCTCTGAAGGGCAGATTAGTAGAGCGAGGGGCTTTCAGGGAGAGGGAAGGTCCCCTGGAGGAGGGCATGGGAACCACTCTGGGATTCTTCCTGGAGAATCTCATGGACAGAGGAGCCTGGTGGGCTACAGTCCATGGGGTCTCAAAGAGTCAGGCACGACTGAGCGACTTAGCACGCAGTGGTCCAAGCAAAGATGATCGTGGGGTGGAGGGAGGGGAAGGAGAGGTTGGGCTGGGATGAACAAGAGTGAGGAGAGGGGTGGGAGGCAGAGGAGAGGCCTAGAAACATTTTTTTTGAAGAGGTCGCATCTTCACCCAGACCCCCAGACCAGACTTCTGGTCAGTGCCTTCAACCCAAATGCCCCACAGCAGTCATCAAGCCCTGCAATTCCAGTTAAGAATATTCCCCTGGGCCCCCTTCCCCTCCTCCAAACACGGGGTCCCTCCCCAGCTTCTCCCGTTCCACCCAGGACATCATTCACACAGGAGAAGAGAGCCTCGGCCCCTAAACTTCAGGCCGCTAGCCGCACGTTGTGCTTATTTGGGTCGAATCTTCCTTTCGTGGTGATGGTGACAGCTCTCCAGACCTTCTCGCGATGCTCCCCTCCTGGAACACAGCTCCTATTAGTCTAATGAGCTTCTGCTCCTCCATCAACTCCTAGTACAGGCACCACCTCCTCCAGGAAGCCCCCACGCCTGGCCACCGCCCCCCTCACAAGCCCCTGCGCTGTGTGTCCCAGGGTTCGTCACCTTGGTCCAGGGCCCCATGCAGTCAGGGCAGGCAGGAAAGGGTTTGGGCAGTCACCAGCACCGTGGCATGTTTCTCTCTCTGGTTCTTTCATTTCTTCATTCATTCATTCATTCACTGAGGGTCAGGGCTGGGGTTCTGGGCCAGGAGGCAGAGGGTGGCCAAGACCTCAGGCTGTCGCAGTGAGGCCAGCGGGAACTAAGACAGCTGACAAATGGCTCTTGTGCAGCCGTGGGGCGGCGGCTAATGATTCCCCATCTTTAATCAGGCCCGGCTGGCAGGGCCTTTTCGATCTGAGTAAATGAGTGCCCGGGGTCAGGGCTGGCTCTGGGAATCAGCCTTCCGGGGCCAAGGAGGGAGGCCCAAGGAAAACACACGGCTGCACCCATTGCGGGCCCTCGGGGAGCTGGGGAGAAAGAACAACACTGGTCAGAGGGTGGCTTCCCAGCAGACGGCACGCCTGGGCCTCGCTGATCCATGCGCTCACCTCCCACCTGCCCCCACTCCCTCCTTCAACAAAGGTGTGCAGAGCTCCATGTGCGTTCCAGGCTTCCATTGAACAGCCACTTATTAAGTGCTGACTGCATGCCAGAGCCTATACCAGGCACAAGGGTGGGGGGTTCACATTTACTAAGCACCTGCTCTTGCTGGACCTGCTACCCAGAGGGGGGCATGCACCAGCTTCTTCACCTGCTGCTCTGTGACCTGCAGTGAGCCCCACGCCTGCCCCATCCACCCAGCCTCAGTTTCCTCATCAGTGCATAGACTTGCAGCTCCCTGAAGGGTTGTGAGAATCTTGTGGAACTCATTTGATGAGCTCACGCCTCGCTCTGCTGAGGTCTGAATATTCTCACGGGGACCCTCATAGGGTCCTGTGCAGTAAGGGACCTTGTGGTCAGTAGCCCCATTTCATGGATGAGGAGACTGAGGCTCAGAGAACAGGAAACACTGATGTGTGGTCACACGGTGGGAAGTGGGGTCAGATCCGGGTCAGATGGAGGTGAGGTGGCAGGCCCCCCGCCACCTGCCTCCCCACGCCATTCCTCCCCCGCCCGTACTGAGCCTGCCCTGTGGCCCGCAGGTCCTGGAGGAGCGCATGAAGCTGGAGTGCAAGTGCCATGGCGTATCAGGCTCCTGCACCACCAAGACGTGCTGGACCACGCTGCCCAAGTTCCGCGAGGTGGGCCACCTGCTGAAGGAGAAGTACAACGTGGCCGTGCAGGTCGAGGTGGTGCGCGCCAGCCGCCTGCGCCAGCCCACCTTCCTGCGCATCAAGCAGCTGCGCAGTTACCAGAAGCCCATGGAGACGGACCTGGTATACATCGAGAAGTCCCCCAACTACTGCGAGGAGGACGCGGCCACGGGCAGCGTGGGCACGCAGGGCCGCCTGTGCAACCGCACGTCGCCCGGCGCGGACGGCTGCGACACCATGTGCTGCGGCCGGGGCTACAACACCCACCAGTACACCAAGGTCTGGCAGTGCAACTGCAAGTTCCACTGGTGCTGCTTCGTGAAGTGCAACACGTGCAGCGAGCGCACAGAGGTCTACACGTGCAAGTGAGCGGGCGCCGGCCACCTGACCGCGCGGGCAGAGGTGTGTGCAGGAGGTGGGTGCTCCAGGCGCGAGAGAGCTCCCACGGGGCGGCCACCTTTTCCTGGCCCACCAGCGGCTCTCTCCTGCCACGCCAGTCCCCTCTTGTGGCAGAACAGTGCCCGTCAGCTGGTCCAGAAGGCAAGGCCGATGGCGTGAGTGTCCCCGGCGGCGCCCAGTGCATTTCTTTTCTCCGGGACAGTGAACCTCAAGGACACACACTTAACCGGAAAGCAAAGCGACAAGACTCGGAGCGTCCTTCTCCCTGAGCCTGGTGGTGCAGGACGCAGAAAGACTTCGGCCCAAGCCTCAGCAGTCACTGGGCTCCAGGGCAGTTTGGGCAGATGTCGACAAAAATTATTTATGTTTTCTTAGTATCCGAAGAGGATTTTAGCACTAAGGCATAGCCGGTCCTAACTCCGTACTCTGTTAGCGTGTCCCCTTGCCACCCTCTGCTCCCTCTTCTGGCCCCTGGGTACCCGCGGGAGCTTCCCAGTGTATGGCCCTGTCCAGGGGGAGGTCGCAGGTGCAGTGGTCTCCACGTGAGCTGCGCGGGGCGCTTGGTGGCTGGCACGGCTGAGACCGCCAGTGAGGAGAGCCACGGACAGGGACCTCTGGCCCCTTCCTCCCTTCTTTTGAAAATCATATCGAGCAAATCAGATTGTCACCCACATCAGGTTTCAGGAGTGCTGCATCCCTGAATGCGGTTGCTCTTCCAGCCCCCCACCAGCCTGATGCTCCCCTAGTTTACAGAACTCCCTCCCGCCCTGGAATCAGCTGGACCCCCAGGACAGCACCGTGCCGGGGCAGGCTGGTGGGACAGGGGGACAGTTCAGGGGTATTTGCCTTATTTGACAGATGGGGACCCTGAGGCCCAGAGTAACTCGAGTACTAGTGAGAGACCCCCCAAGGCCATGAGTGGGGGCTCTCACCCGGGCTCAGGCTCCCTGACGGTGACCCCAGGGCTCCTGACCTTGAAGGCCGTGCTCTGGGGACACCCAGGGTGACAGGCAGTCCCCATGCCTTGAAAACTCTGGCTGTGCCCCTCCCCTGCCAGCTTCAGTGGGGTCCACGCCCCCCTCCTTGAGGTGCCTTTGAGGGTTTCTCTGGTGGTCTCCTTGCCCAGTCCAGGTCCTTTCATCCTGACCCTGATGCTGAGAAAGCTCGGATCCAGGGCACTGCTCCGCCAGGGTCCCACCTGCTGCGCCAGCAGATAGCTGCCCTCCAGTCATCCGTGGTCCCCACCCCACACAGACCCTGCCGTGAGGTTCAAGTTACCCTGAAAACTGGGAGACAGGAATGGAAAGGGGTCCTGCTTGGTTCTAAGCTGTGGGCTGGGTGGGGAGAGAGTAGGGGCCTGAGATTCAGTGCTGGACATGCCTTCTGCCAATACTCCTGCCCACCATGGGGAGACCGAGGCACAAGGTGTCCGGGGCCGGGAAGGATGGCGTTTGCCGGCTTCTAGTGCACCGCTCTCCTTGCACTCGTCCCTGTCCTGATTTGAGGTGTCTTCTCACAGAATCCCGTGGCAATGTATCTTCAGGCTACTAACCAGACAAGTGGGCTGGGCACTAGCCTGGGGTGAGTGACACTGGGCCCTGGCCCCGGCGTCTACCCTGCCTGCCTGCACGATGCCAGGACATGCCACCAACAGCTGCTGTCCTGGGAGCTCCCAGGCCACTGTGAATGCCCCACCCCAGGCCCCTTCCCACTCCCCCACCCCAGGTCCCAGGATACCCCCCTGAGTCCACAGGCCTAGCATCCTTTGCCAAGAAACCTGGTTAACTTATATTGTTATATAGCGTCGAAATGTCTATAGTGTCTCTTAAGTTATTGTGACCTACACTGGGTACTGGGGGGCGGGGGGATGGCCATGCTGTCCCTGATCTAGGCGCCTCCTTCTGCTTGAAACCGGCCCTTGGACCCTTGGGGCCTGTGATGCCACCAAGTCACGTGCACTGTCCCTCGGCTACTCGGCGGCCCCCACCGAGACCCCGCCCTCCCCTAATAGGCTGTCACCCTTCCCTTGGGTGGCGGGGGGTTGTGTGGCCCAGGCAGGGACGCTGGTGGCCGAGGCGCTGTGTGTCCCTGCCGTGGCTGCCCCCCCACCCGCCCACTTCAGGAGAACTGGCGGGTTTCTGATGGGCTGTGTCTGGCCTCCCCAGGAGGGGAGCGCTCGGCTCCAATAAAGCTGGAATCAGAGAAGCAAGTGTGTGAAGTGTCTGCACCCCTTGCCGCGGGGGTGGGGGAGGGAGGCAGGAGCTGTCCCCTGAGGACAAGGCCCCCCACTTGGCGCCCGCTGTGTGGGCGGAGCTGGCGCTGTGCTGATGGCCCTTCCCCCACCCCGTCCTTCACACCTTCTGGGGGGCTTGGTTCTCATGCCTGCCCCCAGGAACTCTGGGCCTGTCCCCACCAAGCAAGGGCCACAGCTGGGGGGCTGGACAGACTCTGAGGCCTCCCCAGACAGCCTGGGTCAGGCCACAGGGGCAGGGGGGTCATGGCCTGGTGCCGGGGGCTGCTCTCGGGAGAAGTGGGGCTGAAGGTGGGAGGCCCTGGCCCCATCTGTCTTCCTCTGTGTCTCCTTCCCCTTCTGACCTGGTGGGGTCTGTCCTCAAGAGTCCCCGTGGGTCTGTCCAGCTGTATCTGGGGGGTTTTGACTCCATGACCCCCCCGCCCCGGGGCACTTCTTGCCCTCTCCAGGTGAGGCAAGGCAGCCCGAGGCCCCTGGGAGCTCTGCAGGCCCCTGGCTGGCCATCAGGCCTCGCTGCTTTTGCCAGAGGCCCTGTGAGCAGGGAGGATGAATGGCATTCCTGCCGAGGGCCGGAGGCATGCGGCGGGGCCGGTTTGGCCACTGCCCGCTGTCCCGAGGCAGCCTGGCATCACACAGCCCCCGTCCGCCTGGGCACTGAGGCCCAGATCCAGGGAGAGGGGCCCCCAGGTGGGCTTTCAGAGGAGGACATGCCCCTCAGGGCGTGGAGAGGCGGGGAGACAGGGCGAGCCCTGGGCCTGAAATCTCAGCTCTGTCCCTCCCGGCGCACACCGCCCCCACCCCGGCCCTGGGCACAGCCTCTGGCGCCCATGCCCCCGTATTTATCAGCATCTGAATCAAATACATCAGCGTCCCCATCCCAGAGCAGGAGGTGGCTGGGGCCAGGACTCGGGGGTCAACAGGATTTGGGGGCCCCCAAGCCAGGCCCCAATGCCCCAGGGAGATTGGCAGGAGACAATGAGTGCGTCCGCGGTGGCGGCGGCCGCGGAACGCCAGGGTCCGGCTACTCCCACAGGGCCAGGAATGAGGAAAGAGCTCTGAGAATGCCCCAGCCCCGGTGCCCAGACTGTACTCACTGCTTGGCCACGGTTCAACCCCAGCCCCGGCCTCCCGGGGCCTCCCCACACACCCTCCAAGGAAGCGTTCCCTAGGCAGCCCGGCACCCCCACAGCCCCCAGAGTGACACCCGTGCCCCCATCTCTCTCTGCGGGCCCCAGGCATGCAGGCCTGTCCTGCCTCTGAACTTGCCCAGAATGCAGCTTCTGCGGGCTTGCCTTCCCGCTGTGCCCAAGACAGCAAGGATCAGCAAGGCTGGTGGATCACCAGGGCTTCCCTGGGCAGGATTTGGGGACGCTGGGGCGGGATGGGGGCGCCTGCAGTCCTGGGGGCATGTCTCCATAGCCCACTCATTCATTCATTCACTCACTGGCTCATTTAGCCTTGCTGGAGGCCGTGTCTGGACCTGGAGATGGTGGTGGTTCAAGCTTAGCCCTGACCTTCAGGGTCTCCAGGCCTTCGCTTCACTCCTGCCCTAAGCAGGGCAGCCCATTCCAGGGGTGTAACCGGGCTGAGACGGCCTGGGAGAGAGAAAAGGGCTTTGGACTGGCTCATCCACCCCTCTGAGCCTCAACATGGCCCTCTGTAGAATGGACACAGGGGAGCCAGCTGTCTGACCAGGCCAGCGTTCCTGCTTTCTCTGTCTGGAGGACACTCCTGCCCACACTTTGCTCTCAGGCCAAGCTTTGGCAACAAGGTCTCCACCCTGTTTCCCCACAGGGCTCCCCGGGCTGCCCACTCAGCTGCTGTCCGGGTCCTGTTGCCATGGTGACAGAGACTCTCTCCTTGTGGCCTTGGACGTCCTTCCTGATCTGTCTCATCTCCTACTGCCAACCTCTGCCCCATTCGCACGCAAAGCCCCTGGCCTACCAGCAAACCTCTCCTCCCCAGAGCTACCCATCCCCTCTACCTCCAGTCCAGCCTTCGCTCCAGCTGTGTCTCCAACTAGGGAGATCCTTTCTCCTCCCATCCCTCACCTGCAACCCTCTCCCCCATGACGCCCACCTTCCCCCAGCAAGCTTGCCAGGGCTCCGGCCCTCCCTCACCTTCCATCCTGGCTCTCCGCCCTCATGGGCAGAGAGGTCTCATTGCTGTGACCCCACCCCCCAGTAGGCTGGGGGCCCTTGGAAGTGAGCAGGCCCCCACCATGCCCGTCCCTGGCTCTGGTCCACGGTTACCCACAACCTCACAACACCCCTTCCCTAGTTAGGTCAGTGCTGATTCTGCTTTATTGATGGAGAACCGAGGCACAGAGAAAAAGGGTTCTGTCCCAGGTCATTTGCCTGTGAGAGGCAGAACCAGGGTTTGAACTCAAACCTCTGGGGTCTTCTCTCCACCCAGCTCTATGCCCACTCCCGCGAGAGGAAACTGAGGCCCTGGGGCCTAGTCCAAGTCCTCACAGAGATGAGTGGGAAGAGAACAACTACATGGGTCCAGGGAGGAGATGACAGCAGCTGTCTTCATCGAGCACAGAATGGTGAAGACTAGGCTAAAATGCAGCAGGCGGGATCTGGGTTAGACACCTGGGTGAACTTTCTGACTCCTAGAGCCGGGAGGTGGGGCAGGGTCAGGAGGGCGCCTGGTGAAGGGAAGAGGGGCCTGGGGCAAGCAGAGCTGTGGTCTGGCGAGCCCGAGGGGCCCAGGAG